TTATTTATATAAATATTCCTATATACCAGAAAAAAACTCAAATAGTACATTAAATCAATATTATTTTAGCAAATTGGATTAATCTGAAAGTTCGGTTTATTGGAATAATAATACCATCGTCCCTAAGGAATGATAAAACTATCATTCCTAAAGAACGATAAAACTATTGTCCCTAAAGAACGATAAAACAATCGTCCCTAAAGAACGATAATACTATCGTATCTTAGGAATGATAAAACAATCGTCCTTAAGAAACGATAAAATTGTCGTACCTAAGGAATGATAATACCATACCATCATTCCTTAGGTATGATAAAACAATCGTTCCTTAGGAACGATAAATGCATCGTACCTAAAGAATGATAAAACCATCGTTTCTTAGGTACGATAATACCATCGTCGATAAAACAATTGTTCCTAAAGAACGATAAAACAATTGTTCCTAAGGAACGATAAAATCATCATTCTTTAGGTACAATAAAACCATCGTTCCTTAGATACAATAATACCATTATCCCTAAGGAATGATAAATCATCGTCTCTAAGGAAGATAAAACAATCGTTCCTTAGGTATGATAATACCATCGTCTCTAAGGAATGATAAAACCATCGTTTCTTAGGTACAATAATACTATCGTCCCTAAGGAACGATAATACTATCGTTTCTTAGGAATGATAAATCATCGTACCTAAGGAATGATAATACCATCGTACCTTAGAAACGATAATACCTATTATACCTAAGGAACAATTCAATCGTTCCAATTGGATGTCAATCAGTTATAAATAAGATAGGTCGAATTTTGATATATACCAATTGGCTATAAGTATGCCAATCGGCTATAAATAAGATAGGTCGAATTTTGACCGATTTCTGATGTATGCCAATCGGCTAGGCTGATTTTGATAATTTGCTGAATTTAAGCTAAATTTAGGCTGATTTTAAAGCGATTTTCACATGTCCGATTTTTTTGATTTTGACCAGTGATAATAAATAAATAAATATATCATTATAATTTATAAATATAAATAACAGAAAAGATTTGAAAAAATAATTAGAATTCTAAAAAAGATAATCAAGCTTAAATAGTAAAAATACAAGTAAGTTATAAAGATAGGTTATATTAATATGATTAAATCATAAATATTAAATTATAAAATGATAATTATTATAAAGTGATATTTGTATTATTATCTAATTTAAATGATATATTACTATTTAATCTAATAATTAAAAGTAGTATACTACTAAGTTTATACTATTTAATCAATCAATAAAATACTATAACTAATTAATTAAAATAGAAAAACAAATTTTATATTTATTATTTTTTTAAAAATGTATTTATTTTTCTATTTAATATATGAAATATTCTGATTTATTATAAAATTACCTAAATAAGATAAATAATTTATTTAATAATTTTTAAAAAATTAATATCTATTTTTGATATTTTTAATTGATTAAACTTTTGATCTATTTTAAATTATTCTAAATAAAATAAATAATTTTATATATTTTTTTAAAAAAAAAAATTTATTTATTTCTAAATATATTTTTGATCAATTAAAATTTAAAGGATTTCAATTAATATTATTTTTTTTTCTATAAACTTATTTTTAATAAATCTAATTTAAGTATATTAAACTATTTATAAAGTTTTAATAAATATTTTAGTGAATATTATTAACTATCAAATTCAAATACATTAAAATATACTTATAAAAGAAAAAATAATACTAAATATAAATGATTCTTTTAATTTTTAAAAGAAGTTATTTAAACATAAAAAATTAATATTATTTCTAAAAAGAAAGAAGTCTTTCAAAAATATAAAAAAAAAACATTTATTTAAAATCAATAATATTTTTAAATAAAATTATATTAATTTAAAATTAAAATTTTTAACAAAAAACATTTAAAATTATATATATTATTAAATTTTAAATATTTTAATATTATATATTTGTTAAAATATTTAAAAATTTTAAAAAGTTATTACAGTAAATAAAATTATTATAAAAACTAAATTTGGATATAATTCTTATTACACCCAAAATAAGCAACCACCAAAATTAATATAGATTTTTTATTATTTAAAATTTATTTTTATTATTATAAATATTATATAAACTATAGTATTCAATGACATCAGTATTGCCATCATCGTTAATACTACTATAGATATAACTATCGATATTAACACCATTATGATATCATTCACTATCGGTAATTTCATCATCCGATTTCAAAAGTCAAAATCTTACAAGCTCAATAATCCAATCATATAATTTTTTTTAATTTCTGTAAAAATATTTCCGACTCGTTTGCTATTTTGTTTGGTTCATTTTATACATTTGACTTCTAACCATGTCTTTATCAATTTCAAAAGAATTTGCCGCTAATTATTCCATTTTCTTTAACATAATGACAACTTGTCTTTTGCTCAATAGAATATTGATTACGGTGTCATTTGACTATTTTTTTTTATTAACAGCACTTTGACTTATTTGCTCTTTTTGCGGCGGCATTTGTAAATTTTTAAACAAGTTTATCAACAAGTCGCGCGTGTTATATTACATTAGCGATCATTCGTCATTTACATGCGCAGTTTTCTTTCGCTTTCTTTTTAAATTTTTTATTTTAAATAAAAAATTACTTGAAATTAAACAACCTATAGCAAAAAAGTTGTCTAATTTCGAAACGGTACGTATTTAAAGGTATAATGAAATTTATGTAAATTTTATTTATATAAAAAAATATGAATTCTCCATAAGGCTTAAAAACTGAATGTGGAATTCTCCGATATGAATTATTTTTATTAATTTGGCGTTTTGCATGTGCATGCATTTTATTAACCAGTTTAACCAGTTTATTAGCCGGTTAATCTTAGTCTTAAAAGGTCAGTTAAGAATTTTTTTGGTTAAATTTCAATAAAAAAAAATGACTGGATTGTCATGGTTCTTTTTATTTACTTTTGCGTCATAAAGAGTTGCATGAATGTTTTTGTCTCTAATCTTATATCATGTGTCAAATATTCAATTACAAAATATAATATAAGTTAACCAGAACCTTTTAACGAATTATTAATTATAAAATTCTGGTGCAAACACAGATGCATTTAACACAAATAGGAATGTGAAAATTATTATTAGCTCCTAGTTATACCAATTTTTTTTTTTTATTATTTAAATATATATATTATTAATAAATTAATTTTTTTTTCTTGCAAATTCAATAAAACTATTTTTGTTTACTAAAATTATTTCATCGCCATGTTTTATTATTCTCCGTCAGTTCCTGCCACTTCTTTTACTTCTTCTATTGCAAGTAAAGTCCTTATTTCTTGCTTTGGTTTTTTTGCAGCATCAGAGGCTGTAAGATCCTTATCTTTTGGAAATGGATGATTTTCGTCGGCGTTGATCCAATCATCAACGCGTGGAGGTTCATGAGATAAAATGGTTTTTAATTCTCGTTTAAGAATGCTAAAAAAAAAAATCAAATCAAATCAAATAAATATACATATTTATAAAAGAAGAGAAGAGAAGAGAAAAAACATACCCGCAAAAATCGTCCAATTTCAAGTCATTATCGTCATATCCAAAAGGATTTTCAATTTCTGTACCAATGCGTTCTAATCCAAACAAAATATAAGAGGAGAAGAATACAACGACAATGGTGGACCAATGAACGGAAGCAACTAACTGAAAAGGTAAAGTAAGGCAATAAACCCAAACAGTTTGAGAAAGATGGATGGAATAAGCCAAGGGAATAGGACTTCTTAGAATTCTTTCAAAGTGTGATAAACAATCACATAAACCATTAAGGGACATGTACAACTGATTGTTGAGGGGATTTTCAATTCTCTTTGTATCTAACTGAGTTTTAATATAAGAAGAAAGGTAAAGAGTAATTTCCAAAGGAAGGTTACATTCCAAAGAACTAGGATTAAATTTTCTTTGATGAGGCTTAAGTTTTCTTTGAAAGATTTTAGTAAACCATCCAACTTTACGTGCATTAGAGGTATTAACATCTTTAGCCGCTAAAGGTTTAAATGATTTTAAAGTTCCTCCAATATTTGAAATTAAATATTCTAGATCTGCATGATTAGTTCCAGTTTCCTCTCTAAGAAAATGTTTAACTGCCACTGCAAATCCGAGTAATAAATTTATTGCGGTTGCCTTTTCCAAAATTATTTCTGGTTGTGATTTTCCAACTTTGGGAGATACTTTTTCTTTCTCGATAATTATTTTATCTTCTCTTACTCCTACCCAAATATTTCGTGTCAAATTACGAATATGCACCACCATCGTGGACCAAAGTTTTCGTCCTTCCCAAAATCTAAGAAAATATAAATTCACGTGTTAAAGAAGAACGATGATTACTGCGTTCATAATGAAGAAATATTTTTACCTGTCATAAGCTGTGTTTGTTCTATAGGAGAGCAAAAGACCAACCACAATACCAATGATGGGGGTAAAGGTATTGGGTATACTTAATTTAAACGCATATACTTCAAAGAGAATTGTGATAATAGCGGCAAATATGGTTACCATTATAGTTGGTATAATGACACTTGGTAAAACCGAACCCTTCAACCTTAGAATATTCGGTCGATGACGTACATTCGGACGATATTCTTTAGGTTCTTCCACCCTATTCATGGCTTTTTCTGCATCCGTCAATTTTTTGTTTTTGCCTTTTATGGTTCCATTAGGATTGTTTAACGTTATTAATTCTTTCATAGACTTCTGGACTATTTCCGGCGCATTCATATCCGTCATTTTGTCAAAAAGTCTTTAATGGTTATCTTAAATTTTATGAATTGGAACTTTTTTTTTTTAACAAATGATAAACCTATAATACCAAAAATTTTTAAAAATTTTTTGAGTGAAAAGGTTCTCTCTTTAAATACTTTGTAATAATATGTACAACGCAACGAAAATAACTCCGACATATATTTATTGTATTTAATGGCTAATGTATGGTAATCCATATTTGTGAAACAGGGTTTTCAGCCAAGGCACATGAATAATGGAAGACAAGTAAATAATTTCGAAACCCAATTTTTTTTTTTTAAATTTCAATAACTACAATTGAAATCGGTTTAGATTGTTCAACAAATTTATAAAAATAATAAAAATTTGAAAATCAAAATTTTTTTGATAAACACTCAAAGAATGATGGACCTGTTTGATTTTCAGACGAGTTGATTGCAAAATAAAAAAGTTTTATAAAAAATTTTTTGAATTGAAGATATAAAAAATTTTAAAAATATAATTGCTAATATTAATTTATGATTTTTATTAAAATCGAAATGGGTTTTTTACCAAAATGCAGAAAATGTTCATACCTATATTCCTAGTGTGGAAATAAAAAGAAAAAAGAGCATGTTGGATGGATGTTTTTAATCGAATTAAGCATCGATGCTTTGAATTCAGTGAATTTGTGCGAATTTCCTAAATAGGTTAAACAAAAACTGGAAATAATCAAATAATATTATCTCAACATTACCAATTTAAAAAAAAATAGTTCATCCTCAGATAACAGTCGGCAAGAAAAACCACAAGAACCACAAGAACCAACCTTGTCCCTAATAAAACTAGTTGAATATGGAAGATTTGTATTAAAACTGATGGACGTGAGTAATAAATTAATAATATTAATAATTGATTGATCAATTTACTATAAATTATTTATTAGAACTGTAAAAAAATGTAAAAATGTCGAATTTTATATTAAATATAATTTATTCTACAGCATTCAAGTAGAGGTTTTTTGGAAGAAAAGTAAGATATCAAATAAATTTACGATTGGAATACGAGAAACTTATTAGCGGGATCTACTTCATAGAAAATGGTTTTAATAAATAAATTTATATTAATGCTGCGCCGCATTAATCAAAGACGAATTTTTTTTAATTACACATTTTTTTAATGTTGATTGGCACTTATCTATTTAAGGGTAGAGTCAATGTCGATCATTTTAATTAGTAAACGCCAAAAAGATTTTAAACAAATGCTAATTTCTTTCTAAGAATCTTTCTTTTTTATATATTGTAAGAAAAGTTTATATTATTTAGTAGTTTTATGTCTAAAATTATTAAAATAAAAGGGTTTGAATGAATGGAATTCTTTCAAATATAACTGCTTTAAATTATTATTTTATTATAAGCATATAGGCAAAATTTAATTTTTTACAATACATCACATTCGCTTATATTTAATAATAATATGCAATTAATAGATAATGCCTCTTAATTAGTATAACTCTAGTTGCTTAAGATTCAAGTAATAGACATTCTATTAAATGCAAAATGAAACTTAGACTATTCTACTAGTTAATGATTTATACAATAAAGCAAAAGCATTTGATTTTACTATAAAAAATGATTCTATTTTCAAAGAATAAAATAGTAATGCTAAATATATCTTTATTTGTAATAAAAAATAGAGCATTCATCAATACCATTATTACCTGAATATATAGTTTTCATTATTGTAGATAATAAACATTTCAAATTATTAATTTTGAAAAAAATCAGTCAATTGCTTTTCTTTTAGAAATTGTTTAGTTTTAATTCATTATTTATATATTGAAAAAAAGGTATAAGGTTTTGAGTGACTTGCATTTCATTATATATTAAAAAAATATAGTTTTAATTCAAATACTTGTCTTTGATTAATTCTTGATCTTTATAAATCTCAAATAATTATAACCTATTCACAAAAAGTTACTTTTATAAAATTAAACTATTTTTTAACAAGAAACTTTAGAAAATTTGCATCAAACTAATGCAAAAAAAAGTATTATATCATAATTTAAAATAAAAATAAGATAAAATTAATACTTTGTTATATAAAAATAATAGTAATAGAAATAATTAAAACATTATTTTTGGAATTCATATTGAATCTGACAGAAAAATATTATTTTCTCAAAAATACAAGCTCTAATGTTGAAAAAATATAGAATACAAGCAAACAATTTATTCTCAAAATAAAATGATTATTTAATTTTTTTAATTCATTTTTTTAATTAAATTATTTTATTTATTTATATTATTTTATTTATTATATTTATTATATTATTTTCTTTATTTTATTTAGTTTATTATTATTATATATTTTTATATAAATAGAAGTAGTTTATCAATATAATTGAGTGTAAAAAAAACTAATATTATAATAAATTTTGATAAATAAATTGCTTAGTACAAATTTATTAATAGAAATAATACTATTCTTTTATTAATTAATTAATTGATTACATATACTTTTCTTAATTTTATCATATTTTTATTTTATTTTTTCTCTTTTACT